GTGTCCCCCCCCCCCCGAGAATAATGCGTTTCAGTAAAGTTCTCCGGAGTGTCGGGAAGACTCGGCATTGTGTCTGCTGTCATAGATAATGTGCATTTCCGGCCATTCCCTTCTAACATTTTGTGACCTTCTGTCATACAGATCACTCAGCAGCTGGAAGGTATCTGCCTGCAAGTCATCGGAACCGTCCTACAGCAACACGTTCTAGGTGAGTCCGGGGTGCTCTCTAGATTGGGAAGTGATGGGTTAGAGCTGTTCTGGGCAGTGCAATGACAGCTACAAGGGTTTGTTCCGAGTAGATATTGGGTGAGGGATGGGGGGGACGTGTCGGCTGTAGATGGAAAGTTAGTGGGGCTGTAATGGGAGGGGGGGGTCCTGTAGGTGGAGTTTTTGATTTCAGTGATCCTTCTTTCTGCTGACATTGTCTCTCGGTTCTGTTTGCAGAGTTCTATGAGGAGATCCTCTCCCTGGCACACAGTCTCACCTGTCAGCAAGTCTCGGCTCAGATGTGGCAGCTGCTGTCTCTGGTGTTTGAGGTTTTCCAGCAGGATGGCTTTGATTACTTCACAGGTGAGCAGATGACATTTTCATGACCTTGGATTAGCATTGTCCCAATCCTAGAGGCAGCCAGTCAGGTGCTGAGCAACACCCAATTGAAGGGAATTTGGTGCTTTAAGACCCGTACCAATGCACATCATGGGACATCTGTTTCTGAAACCAGATGGACCTCTTTTGGGTGCTTTGTGCCTAGAACCTCCATTTTATTAACTTTCTAATCAAATATCTATAGACAATTATCTATCCACACATCCTGAACAAGCTGTAAATGAGATTTATAACAAGCCAGCACTGACTTTCTAACTGCCGTCAATGTGGAGCAATTCATCCTATATGGGTTGGGCTTGATGGACGTATGTCTTTATTCAACCCCAAATACTATGTAACTATCCTCAGTTTACAGCAGATGCAATGTGAGCTGGCTTAGACAAGGGCTTTAAGTGCTTCGGTTGTGAAGTTTGAGTATTATTTTCTCCATAGTGTCTGCAGCTGCAGAGGTCAGGGAGGGTTTGTGTTAAAGGAGAACTATGGGGGGGGGGGCTTTTCACTCACCTCATAGTTCTAGCCGCCCTGTGACAATGAGACTGTCACAGGTCGGCTCAGTAGATCGGGAGGAGAGAGAACACATACCGGCGTTCGCTCACCTCTCGATCCTGTCACGGCTCTCTGCTGTGACAGGGGAGGGACTGGATTCCCCCCTCCCCGCTCCGATCCGCCAGCGCTGACTGGTGGATCGGGAGGGGGCGGGTACAGCTGGCTCTGCCTCTAGATAGGCAGAGCCAGCTGTCACTCACGCAGCTGGGCGGATCCAGACATAATTGTCGGGATTCGCTCCGGCTGCGGCGTCTCAGTGTACCGCGAGCTGTAGCTCCCTATATACTGAGCCTAGGGTGACGGGAGGACGCTAGTTTGTGTCCTCCCGTTACCCTGAGGAGAACTATGGAGGAAAAACCTTAACCCCATAGTTCTCCTTTTTTAAAGCTCATGTACTACCTGTTTAGCATAGAAATGCTGGAAGGTCCACAGCCTGGCCATAGGCTTTCTTCAAGGTGTACCAGCTCATTGGCTTCTGTTTGACATATTAGGATACATTAGATATGTTACGAAGTGATACTGACTGGAGCTTTTCTTCTAGACATGATGCCGCTCCTGCACAACTATGTCACAGTGGACACGGACACCCTTCTGTCTGACACAAAGTATCTGGAGATGATCTACAGTATGTGTAAGAAGGTAGGTTGCCCATCGAGGGCTTTGTGCTGGAAAGTAATCTAGTTCAGTGTGAAGTGCAGTACACGGTGGGGTCCGGTCACCTCCCTGGGTAGTAAGGGTTTTGTAGAATAGTTTCTGGGGGGGGGCGGGGGTCTCTTTATTCCAGCATTAGATATATTTCTGCACTTTGGTTCTGGATGGAGATCTGGGCTTAGTTACTATCGGTCTCCTTTTTCATCATTCCCTTCATAAAATGAATTCAATGTGGGCCAGCTCCTCGGCCCGATTCACATCTGAGCGATCCGCGCGGTTTCGTGAGTGATGGCGGAATTGTGCACAAACCCAAACCGTGCTTCTAATGGCACCCCAATCGCGGCTAGCAATCCGTGCGGTTGCCTATCGCGGTGCAATTGGGGCCGCAAAAAAATTGTGGGTTGCTCATCGCACCAAAAAGGTGCATGAGCCTTTTTGCTGCAGCCGACGAGTGGTTATAACCCCCACTGAACTCAACGG